TTCTTTCTCTTCAATCATTTGATCTTTCGATACAATCAAAATAGGCCCTCTCTCCCTCCCTGGTTCTTCTTCTTTCCCCCTTAATTCTCCCCTCTGGTTCAATTATTCTTCTCTAATTCCTATTTCTAATTTTTGGTCCTATCATCTTCCTTGTTTTATTCACCCAATCACCAAACCCAGCATGTATTCATGCAATTCCCATCAACCATCCTTTCAATTTGGTTCCCCGTCTTCATCTCCTCATTATGGCGAGTTTGTGGGTCTTTGCAAATGTGGTCTTCAACCAATTAAAAGAACTGCTATGACTCAATTGAACTATGGATGCAGGTTTTGGGGATGTCCAAAATTTTCGGTAAAGCTTGTTTTTGTGTTTTTGATTGTGCAAATGTGGGCCTTTGAGCAATTTGTTTATATATCAATGTTAATCCTTCTCTATACTGCTCTACTCAGATATCTTCCCTTTGGTTTGGTTATTTCTGTTGTGGTCTTCAATCAGTTTGTTGTGCTCTGCTTTGATGAGGAATCTGGTTTTTTATTTTTGTTTATTTTTGGTTAAGATTGTTTTTGGTCAGGTTTTTTTAATTGTTTTATTATTGTTTTTATTGTTTTTTATTCTTGTAGAACGATGGTGAGGAAGCTGGCCATACTTGTGGAGTGTTGTGTAATGATCCATGTGAATTGAAATCTGGTTGCAATTTTTTCATTTGGTTTGATGATGACTTTGATCCTCGACTTAAGTTTTGGATAACATATTGCTGGGATAAAAAGCAAATGCTGATGAATGAGATTTTACAATTGAAAAAGGAGAACCTGGACCTGCATAGAGAGATTGATGGTTTGAAGAATTTGAATTGTGAAATGGAAAACAAACTCAGTGGGATTGAGACAGTTGCTTCAAGTTATTTGAAGCTAAAAAAGTGTTTAATTTGTTGTATCTTCATAATTGCTTTTTTGGCAATTAAATTTGCAGGATAATTAGTCATAGTCTGCTTTTGTAATAGGTGATGAGCAAGTGCAATATAATGTGGTGCAGGACTACTTTTGTAATTATATGACTACTTGTTGTAAATATATGACTCCTGTTGTAATTGATCAGCTTATGAATGAAGTATAGCTTTTTTGGAAGTGGTTTACTTGCAAAATATGTTTGTGTTTTGAGCATATATAGGGCATAACTTAACAAAAAAACAAGGCTATTCATTTCAGTGAATGCTTATACAGAGCAATACTTGACCAAAAAAAAAAAAAATGATTGCTCATGACAATTTTTACTGCTGGTATAGGGCATAACTAAACAAAAAACACCTATTACACATTAAAAGCATTTCCATCCATCTTCACTGTGTCCAAATCTAAACATGTATTTACAGTGCATTACAAGCACTTACATGCCCTAATAGTGCCTACCATAAACTAGCATTTAGAATATACAATATATGTATATATATTTATAGTAAGCATTCACACCATAAAATCCCAAAAATCAGCATCCTCAGAATTAAAGTAGCAATTCATAGCATGAACAAAACAAGCATCACCCTTCAATTACAAGCATCTCCACCATGTCCTTCACTGATTTCTTGCAATAAGGATCCCTAATCAACAGCCTCCATTTGATCTAACCTTGTTTGTTTTATGGCCCTTATCTTGCACATCTTTTAGCCTACAAATAATAGCAACTCTACACAAATTAAATATATGAAATAAAACATAAATATAAACAAAGAGTTTAAAATAGATGCTATTCAAAATTTCAAATTACATGAATAGCACCCACATCTAACTATTGATATGTGATGCTTTGTCTTGTAATTGGTTGATGTGGTTGGCTAGACACCATATTTGCTTCCATGCTTACTATGGTAGTCCTCATAACACTTTGTAAGTTGCCAGTATCTAAGCTAAAAATATCAGCATTCAACTGGACAAATTGTAAAGTCATTGCGAGAGCTTCATTTTTCTTAGTTTTGGCTTGCTTTTTCTTTTGATTTGCAACACCCTACACCCAAATTTGTGAGGCAAATGGTAAAAAAAAAAGAGAGTCTAAAGTCATTAAAACCAATAAAATCATGAAATAAAATATAAATATTATGACATTTTCCCCATTTTTCTTTTGTAATTTAGCAATATTGCTTGCAGTAGCATTCTCATTAATGTTGAAAGAGTTGTTCACCCCATCTTCAACTATTGGAGTACTCTTTTTCACCCTTGCCCTACTTGTTCTCCTAAACTCTTTAGGTATTTTACTCAATTCAACACTCTTTGCAATTTGTTTTTTCCTTGAAGGTTTTTTTTCAAAACTATTACAGTTGAC